TTTACTCTAATCTGCTCTTCACGAGCTTTGGTTAGGTGTCGAAGTAATATTGAGGCTAATATTTTAGACACTATATTAGTCAAAATGATTCCTCTGTGATTGTCACAAGACGACTTTTGTCCCTTCTTATAGACTGGCACAATCAGTGATTGAGACCAGTCAGATGGGATTACGTCCAGTTCCCAAATTCTATCTAGGACCTTAGTTAATCTCACTGCTAATACTGGACCGTTATCCCTAAAAGTCTCAGGGGTAAACCTGTCAGAGCCTGCTGCTCTCCCTCGCTTCAGATTTCCTATAACTTTTTCAACTTCGTAAAGAGACGGAGGACCTACATTAACTTGCCATTCAGGTTGACTGGAGATCGTGGGAAACCGAAGTGTGGCTGGAGGCCAGTTGAACTGATCCCTAAAGTGTTCTGCCCATCGATCTAATTTCCTGGATTGAGAATGTATAAAATGTCCATCTTTCTCTGCGATTGTTTCGCTAACAGTCGGGTTCCTAATACCGGTTTCCTTAACAAGTCTGAACAGTCGTCTGCTATTACCTATTGTTGCTGCCTTTTCCACCTCTCTTGCTTTCGCTACCCACAACTGTTCGCGATCATTGCGTAGGCTTCTTATCAGCTTACGCTTAAGCTGACTCCGCTCTTCGTTATGTTCAGAGCCAGATGGGGTGAGTTTTCAAGCATCTATCGGTGCGGTAGATGCTGCTGAGATCTAGTGTTGCATTTTTGTCCTTTCTGTCTACGCTCCCACCGACTGCAGCTCAGATGAAGTGAAAGATGACTTTTACAGAAAACTATCTAAACTTCTTCAGGAAGTTAAACGTTCAGACATAGTACTCGTAGCGGGAGACTTTAATGCCCAGATAGGTAGTTTAAACCAAACAGAAAGGCATTTAGGTGGGTATTTTAGTATTCCGACACAACGAACAGATAATGGTGATCGTCTGCTGCAACTGTGCTCAGACAATCGTTTACTTTTACCAAACACTAATTTTGAGCATAAGGAGAGACATCGTCTAACATGGTGACTCCCTACACCAAACCAAGAAGATTGTCGCTCATTCTGGAGTACCTGATTGGACTCCGACCACGCTCTAATACGGGTACGCATCTGCTTGCGCCTCACTGGACGCAAAAAAGCCTCAGTAAAAAGACCCTTCAGAACTGAATTGAGTAGCGAGAAAACCAAAAGTAGGTTCCAGAAACAACTGAAGTCACTCTTAGGCAGCCCCGAAAACGAGTCTGACACAGATGTTACTTGGAAAGATATACAAACAGCTGTAGAAACAGCAGTAACACCTATTAATGATCTAAACCAAAGGGTCACGAAAAACCAACGGATTTCTTCTAGGTCTATTGCACTAGTGGGCTATCATAAACTCATCCTATGAGGCTCTGAACACGATGAAGAGCGACAACAAATCAGATCTAGGTTAAGCAAAAGTCTAAGGAACGATTGTGAGCAGTGGCAGGCAACGAAAGCAAAAGAGATGGAAAAGGCAGCGGCTGTATGTAACACTAGACAGCTCTACAGACTAATAAAAGAAACTGGAACTAAGAAGTCAAGTGTGAGACAATCTCGGAAAAAGATGACACTTAACAGCTCTCAGTCCAGACGTTTAGAACGATGGGCGGGACACTTTAAGAAGCAGTTCAGCTGGCCTTCAGCTACTCTACAACTACCCATCATTCCCAGACAGTGTGAATGGAACATTGAAGTAGGTCCCCCAACTCTTGCTGAAGTTCAAAAGGCTATAGCTAATCTGAAACGAGGAAGGGCAGCTGGTCCAGATGGCTTGGCTCCAGAGGTCTTTAAGGATGGTGGTCCAATTTTAGCGATTAGGTTGACTAATATTTTAGCTAAGATCTGGCAGTTAGACGTCATTCCATCTGACTGGTCACAATCACTTATCGTCCCAATATATAAGAGAGGGTTAAAATCATCTTGTGACAACCATAGAGGGATTAGTTTGACTAATATAGTATCTAAAATACTAGCCTCGATAATTATCAGACGCCTAAGACTCGTGAACTGCAAACACGAGAAAATCAAGCTGGCTTCAGGCCTGGTTGTGGCTGCATCGATTACATATTCACCATTCGTCAGGTTCTAGAACATAGGCATGCTTATCGGCGTCCGACAATGGTGGTCTTTCGTGACTTCAAAGCAGCATTTGACTCCGTAGACCGCGAGATTCTGTGGCTGCGTTTGTCATTGAAAGGCGTACTTCAGAAGTACATAAACTTTTTGTTTAACTTCATCATAGACCTACTGATGGAAATAACGCTCTCATCGACTGAATTTTCGGGCATTGATCTTGCACCAGGAGGTCCACTTATCGACTTAGAATACGAAGATCCACCCAGGTGTCTTTCCCTTTCACTTAGTTTACCTACTTGAGCATTAAAGTCACCAGCCACTATTACTACATCAGAGCGCCTAGCTTTTCGGAGGAGGTCGGAAAGCTTTCTGTAAAACTCATCGTTTACATCATCTGAGCTGCAGTCAGTGGGAGAATAGGCAGAGACGACGAAGAGGCAACGACGAGTGTCCCTATCTTCCCGAGTCCTTATTGTTCCATTTAGTCGGACAGCGCACAAACGACTGTCTACTGGGATCCAGTCTAAGACAGCCAGTTCTGCCCTACGACTCAATGCTATACCTACGCCGGCGAGGCCACGAGAAGCAGCATCAGGGCTTTCAGTTACACGAAGTGTCAACCGAGTTGGTTCTTTATTTTGACATGGTGAGGTCAAATGAATGACGCTACTCGGATCCTGTATGCGTGTTTCGGAAACACAGTGCACATCGATGGCGCGAGATTCTAAAGTCCTAGATAAAGGAAGCCTGTTGTCCTATTTGGCACAGTGTTCGGACGTTAAAATATCCTACGTGTGTTTAGAGCGTGGTTTCAGGAGACCAGGAATAACGTTCCGGTAACTCGAATCGTTTGCCCTAACAGTACCAGATGATAAAGGGACGTGAGAAGGGTTAGTCGTGGAGATAAGAGAGGTATTAGGAGGTGTAGGGAGGAATCGATCGTGACCAACTTGATCTCGTGTGCTATTACGGGTATGAGGGATGGTGTCACTTCCCGGCTGCTCACATCGTGGAAGGGTATTTATGGACGAACCTGAAAAGGAAGTTGGATTAGTGGTGGTCTTAACAACCTGGGAGCGTGACCGCAGAGCCCAAGGGACAACTGATTGAGGCCGGTCGCGCACGGTCTTTTTGTAGGAGGTCTTTAACGCGTTAGCTCCGTTCTTCAAAGGGCTTTACCGCCAGAGACGGAAATCCGTGAGGTAAGGTGAGGTGTGACATTTTTAAGGTCGACCTTTTCTAACCACTTCCTTCCTTGTGAGAAGGCAGCATCGCTGTAGATGCTTGTTGTCCGAGGGAAACACCTTATTGTTGTCACACCCCTCTACATTCAGCAGTACGACTTCGCCCTCAGACCTTGATTTGCTGCTTTTAGTCTTACCGTTCTCCAATCGACCTCCTTGGCATGGTAGAGCCTGCAGGGACATATATTCCAGCCAATATAGCTCGGTTGAGTCATCACGATAGGCAAGCCTGACCACCGCGTCAAGGTACCAGCTACGGTCGGGACGTGAACGTGTAAGATGAATTATACTTTATTTTTGAAAAATTAAACAGTAACTGGATAGAATAATAGAAAAACCCTGAAGAATGTTTACAATTAAAGTATTTACCATACCACAATAGTATGAGTAGATATATCTTTCATTAGACAATAACTATGATTATTAATTAAGAGGGGAAACTAAGAGCAGAGCAGAGGAAATCTGATTGTGTCAGTAACACAATAATATTCGTTTCCCTATGCATAATTGACTGGAACAATTATTGTAGTTGAGCTTGAAAAAGTGATTTCAATGATTTGGCTTCAACTGTCAACTATTTTACACTCAAATAATGGACAACTTACAAAAAGTATTATACTCCATTGATATAAAAGATCTATACTTTAATAAATCATTGGATAATGTATATGAATTGGTCTTAGAGATTTATCAATCGAGTTTAAATCGTTAATAACTAATCAAAACAATTTTATTGTTTACAAATATATGCGGAACATTAACTTAAATATAATAATATATATGATATTAGTTTTTACTTTATATAACTGTCGTAGTATACAAACAAAATGCAGTGGAAGTAATTCAATTCCAGCAAAATGTTGTTGATTACTAAATGAATGAAAGAAACCACAATTATGCGTAGATAGTCTTTATATAAAATCTGTATAATCTTGTGAACGAATTGTTGATATTGAAATGGCCTGTTATTTATTACGTTAGCCTATACAAACAGTTCCAATCTAACGACACTATCAAGCAGTATGGATTATTCTAAGAGTCCACTTATTCGCTACTCAGTAAGTCAGTCAGCTACAACGTAGGACCAGGCACATATATGCATCGGTCCAAGTTGCCATACCTCATTAACACAACAAGATGGACACCGGATTCATAAAAGTAGTTAATTCAGTGGTGGTAATATATAAAAGAAAGATTGCATATAAGGATATAGTACAGGAAGAAAGAATTAGTTCATAGAAAGAAAGATATGAAGCGATTTTAATCTTTTAATTTAAGGGAAGATAGAGAGTGTATACACCGACGCCACTGTGATCGATTCCTAACCATGTCACCAAGAGTCTCCAACCATTGGTTACGATAGTTACGTGGACCCCAACCAAGTAGTCTGCATCTACCAACATGGCTCAGACTAGAAGTTAGTGACTTCAAGCACTGATTCCACGTTTTGGTTTGGCCGCCCTTAACTTTCTTCCAACCATCTCCAACACCGGTTAGCATTGCACGTCGTGGTAGTCGATGTTCTATTTGCTACTACTTCTTAGATAATTATCAGTGAACATAGGTCGGTGGACTGAGAAGAAACAATTTCTTTCAATAATTGTTAATTAAATAATCTACAAACATATTTCAGTAAATTATAACTCACATCTCTTCCAAAATCAGCATTGAGTGGGGGACCTCCATTTAAATTGCTACAAGTGAAAACGACGTATGCAAATACAAACACAACTAGGGATCGTTATATGGTAACATAAGGAAAAATAATCATATTAAACTTTAAAGAAAATAAAATCCAATGTACGAATACGAGACATCTTGGAATGTTGGTTGAAATGTAATGTCGCTTTAAATTCATGCTGTTCTTTTTCACAATTTGCACCAATTATGGTTCCTAGCCTGAGTAACATGGGATACATAGAGCTTTATTCTCCTAACACGTTATCAATATGATTAAATGGAACACTGGATGACTACTATAATTTATCTACCTTCCAAACCTTGACAATTGATTTTTAAAATCAAAAGTCATAGATTTTGAGATTTTATGTCAATAGTATTTTGATTCATTTGACTATGAGATATTCCAAGCTTCTGTGGCATTTTAGGACAGCCGCCAACATTATTATCAAACTATGTGATGAACTGATGAATCCGAAGTGTAAGAAAGCTGAAGTGCATGGGGTTTAAAATCTTATGTATGAGAGCTTCGTAGTTATTGATCGATCTGACAAGAAATTCAAAGAAAAATCCAGATGAGCTCAGTGGTTTTCCATGCTTCCAAATTAATTTAGGGACAGCTAGCGAAATTGAAATGTTCAATAAACTAAGGTAAAAACAATCGAAAAACTTTAATACTGGGAGTAATACTGAACTTATAAGCACTAACTTTTGCGAAAGTAACTCAGAAGCTATACTGGAAAAAAACACTGCTGATTTACCGAGTCCCATAACTTAGAGCTGTGATTTAAACAGGCTGTAAAGGTTGAGCACTCAAAGGTTTATTGTTCACGTAAATCAGTGGATTTTATTTCCTTGATAAAAATGACTATTTACCTTTTCTTACGAGCTAAGTTGTCCTACAGATCTATCATTCATATCAAAGTGGGACTCTGATGAAAAATCGAAAGACTTTTAGTTCGTTAGCTTTACTAAGTGCACTATTTTTAAGATTGTTCCCTTTCTAGAACTACATCCACATAATCACTAAAAAGTAGTCTACAGTAGGGAAATAATTACTTCTAGCTTAGACCCTGTTAGATAAATTGTGGACTTCACCTAGAAGAAACCTGGGCTTCAAAACTAAAAGGAATGATGTTTTCGATAAAAACGCTGGGAATTCATTTTCTAACAAAAAATAATACTATTTTTGAGATTATTCTAGGTGGTAGACTTGTCAGGAGTTGATAACCACACAACGTAGTCCTTAGAACAACAACCAGCTATTCTTCTGTCCGCAATATAACGCGAACACACTAAGTGTTAAATAATCGGCATCTTTTGAGATTACCTAACCAATTTCATAAGTCTTACACAATCAGATGAATAAAATGATGTGACCGATCGATCCCCTTAAACGTCATTTTTAAATATACCAATCAAAAATGTACATACCTCAAAATTGGACAGAGATACTGATCACGAAAATACTTCATGAAAAGGCTATCACAGTTGAAAGGTCGACAATGTTCAAGCAAAATCACACAGTCTACCGGGCATAACTCAGCAGCATATGTCCTTATGGCTTGAACATATTCATTCATATGCGTTGCCGCAGATGTATTATTATTTTCCAAGACATCAGAGATTAAACCCAGATCACTGTATACAGATTTATGACTGCCATGAGAGTTTGGACATTTGAAATTAGGATCATTTAAATCCAAGGATGTCATAGATTGCGATGATGGAACTGAATTAATAGCATTTAAATCAACTTCTCCTTTGATAGAAAATTCGGTATTCGGTGATGTTAAATCAACTGAATAAGACAAGTCGTTCATAATATTTTTATTCATTAAACTGTGTGAAACTTGAGGTGCAAACTCTGGAAATTTCTCATCACATTCTGAATCGATTGGAAATTCATGGGGGAAAAACGTCAACGGAGATGTTGAGGCCACCAAAGCTTCAAGAGTAGATTTAGGGGCGTCAGGATCAGTGTTTGAGAACTTCACTGAAGATATTGGAGTATTATCAGGAGATGATAGAATACTATTCAGATTAGAAGATACATGCATTTCCTCAATTAAACGTTTTGGCGCTGAGAGAGGACGTGTTAAAGGATCTCCGCCATCTGAACAGTGAGTGTAACATAATGCGGCGGAATGTGGACGTTTTACTCCAGCTCTGACAGTGCTAGTTCTATTCAGTGGCTGATTATGATCATAGACAGAAGGAACTTCACTATCATACATCTCATCGTCCCCCGTTGATGTAAATGCCTGTGTAGTGAACAAAGAGTCTTTATCATCTACCTCATATGGGATTGTGTTGTTTACCAGACCATCCACAACTGGATCTACTGATGAATCCTCTTTGAGAGGCGTAAACCTCGAAGGAGTAAAACTATTAGGACGACACAATTCAAGTTTTTCGATGGCGGGACTTTCACCACACAACTGACTTGAATATCCAACTGCTACCGGAAATGGGAAGAAGTCAGTAAGCTTTTTCGCAGCATGTTTGACAGACTTACTGGAAGCTGGTGTGCTAGATGGTCTTGTGTAACTAAGTACAGGTGCATGTACATGGTCTTCGAGACAGTGTGAAGTTAGATCTTTATTACATAAGTGCGAGGGATGGGAAAACGGTCTAAGAGGCTGGTTCGCACCAAAGTTTAAAGGTGATGACGAATTTGATGTTCCTTCAACACAAAAGTTGTCATTTGTTTGCGGTGCGAAAATTTTTGCACCCTTAGGTAAAGTGTTGAACAAATCTATATCATTTAACATGCCGTATGCATTTTAGAGCAGATTGACAACCTACAACACAAGAAAAGAGTTTACAAGATAAAATGCTCTGAAGATCATTCGTCAGATTTACTAGTTTCCAGAACAATTAATATGAAGAAAATTCCCTGGAAAGTTATGAACTTTTTTAACTGAAATATAATACAATATAATTATTATTTACTAGTTTTCCCACTCTAGTTTACACAGATCAAGACACAGATTGGTTTATGAGAATAGGTAAGGACTGTCGATAGAAATATAGTTGTATCTTGGCTGTGTGACCGATTGACTGAATTAATGTGGAGTAGCCAATTGATAACTGTCCATGAAATCCAATTATTGACACTAACCCTAAGATAAACTGACATGAAACAATACAACTGACCAACAAAAATATCATTTTCACGCAGTAAAACATCCAACGAAAAGTTCAAGATAACACTGTGGATCCACCTAAGTAATCACAAAGCGTTAACATTAGATAACAAAACAATACTAATTCGAATTAAGCGTAATTATTTGTACTTGGAAACCTAAAGCAGAATGAAGATACAACTGATGTAATCGACATATAACATATACTTATCGTGAATTCGATTTCAACTGATTTATAATCACAATTTACAATCACTGAGGATAGAGTTCAAAATATTAAAGTTGATAAGCAGATTTACTTTTAGAACATATCTTAATTAGCTGAAATATCTAGAAAAGGTATGAGTCAAAATGATAAAACACTCCAAAATCCCAAAAGAATGTTGGTCAGGAAAAGATAACTCTGTCCTTCTAGATTGTTTTAAACCCGCTTAATATTATCGTCATCAGCAATTGACATTTATTAAATAAGTTGATTGCTAATTTTTCACTTTACATTTAATTAAAATTCGCCTCATAACTTGAATTTGTTACTTAAAACTGGTTTCTATTTGTCTCTATGACCTGAAGTCGTAGTAGCTGATCTCCCACGTAGCATGACAAATCCATCATCAGAGAAAAGCGCTGACAACCAAATAAAAGTAAGAACAGCGACTGGTTTTTAGGCATATCTCGTGAATTTTTTTCGGACTTTCAGCTCAGTTGATTGGTATAATATAACAATAAGTAGTATAGGTTTATTTATTAAACGGTAAACCACACTTTATATGGGCTAATTAAACTACCAGGTTATCTAAACTGAAGTAAGAGCAGAACTCTAAATTGCACACTGGTGTTTGAAGGTGAAGTGGTTAAACCATTAAGCCACAACTCTACTAATAAGGAAGTAGGCGATGAAGCAAAATAATATGCACTAAAATGAAGTCGAACTAATCACTGTTTATCATGAATAAATACGCAAATATCTAGTCACAGTGAAAAAGTTTTTAAAATATTCGGTGGAAGTTCAAAAACGTTATCTATTCTTTTCAGAAAACGATAGATAGGTTCTAAATGAACACAAGAGCAGAAGCAACAGTATCAGTAATAGTAAGAAGGATTGGCATAGAGAAGAAAGAATCGAATCATGGAATAAAATGTATAAAATAATTCAGGGAATCAAAAGTAAAGAGTCAATACATCCGCGGCGTTGCAACCAATTCTGAGTAATGTTACTCGTTTCCATCAACTTCGGTGAAATTTTCCATAGGAAACTTTGTTTTCTCTTGTTAAACACTAACTTGTAAGCTTCGTAAGTTAGCAAATTTTCAGTGGGTCCTATGTTATTTACAAATACTAACCATTATCAGAACACATACCATTTTCGCTAGTCGAGAAGTTTTGCAACTACTTTTTTAGAAACTTAAAATCCAGTTCAAATTCCCAGTGGTATTCGAATAGCTGAACTACTCAATATAACTGGTAATCAGATATTGAACTCACTCCAGTAATTTATTCCGATATTATAGAAAAATTGTAGGCCAACTGAAGATGCTAAAGACCATTAACCAAGGTGACTGCAACGTGATACACATGCCTAGTCATTCCCTACCCTGGTGAATAATTCATAATACAGTAGGAATAGGTTTGAAATAAACTAGGACCGGATAGATCAAAACATAAGGTCAGTCCTTGATGTCAGTAACTTTTGCTCTGAATAATGTCGGTTGCTGAACACTTCTTGTTTCAAGATTCCTCAATAGTCAAAATCTACAGTTAAAGACATTGAGTGACGTGGATTGAAATCAGTTTTAGTAGAACAATTGCATTCATTCTCTACCTCTTTCTAAATTCTGATTTTACTGTCACTCCATGTATTACATCCCACAATCTTATTTGTTTCTTTAAGTTACCTTTCTCACGTTTGGCTTTTGAATGTATTTATTGACATTATTTTTGCGCCCATGATTCTCATCTCAATTCTCGCTAGGGGCACGAATGTAAGGTATGGGGACTTGAGCCAATGCACATTCGTGCTACGACCTATGTCTACTTTAATTTACTGACTAACGTAAAATATTGAGTAGGTTATCCAGGTTAGAACAAAGAAAATAGTGGACCGTCAATTATTGCTCAACAATTGCGGTAAAAAAGATATTAGACGGGACAAACCATTAGTTCCCAGTACCACTCAACGACGACAAGTTTGCGTGAGGCTCCAGTCAACCAATCCTAAATATATCATTTCTTACAAACTGACAACTAATTTTTTTAAACTGTAGTATCACACTTACCTTGTTTCATGAATTTTGATAATTTGAAGAATCAGTCAGTAAGTCATTACCAACGTAGAGCGTGCACTCAAACGAGTCAGCCCACGTTGTCATATTGAATGAATACAACAAGACGAAGTTAGCAAGATATCAATCATAGTTATACATAATATAGAACCTGACACTTATGAGCATCCGTTCATGTTGTCACACTGAAATGTCAGACTAGCATAATTAGCACAGCAACTGGTAGTAGCAGAAAAGATGAAGCACAGGAGACATAATTTTGGAAGGAAATATGGGTTAGTAGAATGAAATGAAATCTTCCTGAGGAAATTTATGGACCTAGAATTTAGAGGCTGACAAGGAGTAAGAGCACCTCAGCATTGCTCACTCTGTGGAACCAACATGCATGGCCAGTTTCTTTGAAAATATCTGTGATCGGATACTCGTAACCTACCTGTATCCTCCTTTTTTAAAGACCATATTTCACAGTTATAATGTGAAACAGAAAAAAAACTGCCAGTCACCATATTCTTTTTGTTTGGTAGACGGATATCTTACCTACGCCGAAAGTGACACCAGTTGCCAAAGATCAACCGGACTTTTGGAACCCGGGCTAATATTTTGTCAGGCACCAGCCTATCGGGGATAATGAGATTTTTAAAATAAGTGAAGCGATCAAGAAGGCTGACTTTTTCACTCCCTATCACTAGTTGAGGCATTTACACAGACCCGTTCTGAAGCGAAATTTTGTATTTAAAAAAGAATAACATCCCAAAGCCCTAGGTTACTGTTTAAGGTGATCAGAAAACTGCATTGTATCGTCCTCACCGAAAACGACTAGCATCTGCGAACGTAACAAGATGAATACCAAAGGATTCGGACTAGTAGTATTACCACTGACAGTGAAAGAGTTCAACAGTTTGGTAATACAGTCCAAAAATGGATGAATTCGGAGAATAAAAAATAAATATCGAAGACTAAGGGGACGACTATGAATGCACCTAACAAGTCCTAAGAAGTGTTAATTTACGTCTCCAACCACTCGTCGCGCTAAGCCCGATCAGGTGAACTGTATTTGGCAACATGGTCCATTCCAATAACCAGTGAATTCACTGACCGAACTCAGAACTTAGTTTGGCCACCAATGACTTTCTCTTAACGTACATCTACTCCAGCCAGGATTTCATGTCAAGGGAAGTGGTCGTTGGGTGCACGCGACACATTTTTTCAGATATCAACTGACAAATACTTGCAGCCTCATTAAACGATCCACGGTCCCTCATTAGTACGTTATCTGTACAATATACTACTCACCAGCGTTGAGAGATGTAAACCAGGAGGCTTAAGGAATCGATAAACCCTATTGCCCGGATTTCGATACGCGGAAGGTAAATTAAACACTGCAAAATTTAATACCTACACTACTGAATTACAGATATACTGCACACTGACGGAATGAGTGCAAAGCAAATATTTTCACAACTGAGGCCAAAAGTGAATAAATCTATTTATAAGGATGATTCACAATGTGACAGCTGAAAATAAATATTAGATCCATGGCACGAATGAAAAAATGAATGTAGCCAAAATGATAGTTGATGGGTAGGTTAGGTACCTAAATCACTAGAAATCAATTTTTTATGACCATCCAGGAGTCTACATTCAATTTATATACTATGCAGTCAGCCTTACTACTTTGTGTATGCTAAGGTGGTTGACTAGAGGCTACATACAATAAACATCGTCATATGAACGATCACACCTCTTATAAAATGTACCAAATGTTTTGTTACTTGACCGGATTTCGCCTTGTTAACTAATTTTAATTCCGACAGCCTTATTCAGACGTGAATAAACACGTCCTATCAGTATAGAAATTAATATGACCTTATTACGATTGGTCAGTCAGTACCTAACTCAAGTAATTCTGACCCGTTCATCACCGATTTTCGTTTCGCTTTTGAATGAAACTGGTCAACACGAAAGATATATTCTAACTCTAGCCTCAAAACTAGACTCACTTCTAATAGATGGTTGATTGGTAGTTGAGCTATAATAAAACAACCCACTCTTCGTTGATAATTTCAGCGCCAAGTGATTTGTAGTAAACTGCTGTTGCCAAAACAGCTAAAACTGAGGTTTAAGGAATATAATATCAAAACCTATGCATGTTTCAGAAATAATTTATTTCCTAATATACACAAAGTTTTTTTCTTAATGAATTAACCACATGAAAAAACGACGGCAGCCTAAATAAAAAGATCCGACTCACTTTCTGCTGCGCAGTATTATACGTGGAAATATAACCAGTTTCCTATAAAGTACACACCACAGAATTCACCAACCAACCAGGTGAGTTCCGAACAGGATACAACCTTCCCGCAATTTGGAAGACGCAACAAAACAAGGTTTGGATTACAGAGTTTTTATGTAAGTATATTTTCCTCTTATCGCTTGGTAAAACTGAGCTCATACACAGCTTTTATACGAAAGTACTATTTGTTTGCAAATCCAGTGAATGAGATTTATCCCTTGAGTAATATTTGGTTGTTCACAACAGACATATTAGGTCAGTTAATCTGTTTCTAGCCCAGTGCCAATTATTCCCGTAAAGATTAGGTTTCTGCTTAAAAACAGTTAGTCCAAGGGTTTTTATCCCTCTCTTGGGCAGGAGATCTCAGACAAAACCTACCTACGGAGAAATTAAAACCCTAACGCAGCTTCCCGAATGTCTTGTCATGGCCTTGGAGACTATCAGCTTGTCCAAAGACGAAAGTGATAGAACACATTGTTACCAGAGTCATCATTTGAAACGAAGACTCCTGATATAGTGTCCCTTCTTATTCCACAAAATTGAGTGAAAATTTAAGCGATTCAATCATATCAATAAATTTTTCCGTTGAGTTCATTGGAGTCAGCCTACACGAATTTACGTTGTTGTACTTTGAGTGACCTTACTAAAAAGAAGGATGCTGAAATGATACATATCTTACTAGGTTATGATAGTAAATAAAGTCAAGTTGCCCACAACGGTGAATAGTGTGTCCCCACTTCGCTGCCTATCATCCCTAACAACCATTATGTCCTCGCACTTGCCGATCGTAAACTTTGGGAATCGATTGGGCCTTTCCGAAGGTGTCTGAAAGGTCCTATTCGCAGAATGACCTGCATAGACACGTCAGGTGTTTTTAAACGTGACCTAGATCAGTAAGAAGAACGTTTAAAAATGGACGAAACACACATCAGATTCAGTTGCTGTCGATCAGCAAACCACCACCCAGGGTATTGTGAGCTGATCAAAACGGACCAAGCGCTTCGCCTGTGTAACAAACTTGCTTGAGCCAGTTTCAACAAAGTTGGTAAACAGCTTCACCTAAGTTATCCACGATCTGCAGCATTTCAGAATGATTCTGCAATAAAAGAACACCTTAATGTGACGGACAGCTAAATGACTTGACAGTTTATTGGAAGGGGGTCGAGGAACATGTGTCCAGTCTGAAATGAAGAATATAACTCATGTTGAAATTTAGTATTAGCCTCGATGTAACAGACGGTAAAATGAGCATTTTATACGTGGCACTTAAATATGGTATGGAAAACAAGATGGGGTGCGGAGTAGCAGTATACATCAGTGGTTACCTAAAGGGGAAAACTTCGAATTAACTTGAGCTGGACAAGTGGCAGGTGCCCATCTGGTGATATTACAGTAAGAACGCCAGTGATCATCTGAGTGAAAAACCAAGTTGCTGTGGTTATCGTAACATTGGAGGTTTTATCGGATACGTATCAGTAGACTTCATACCTCCTTGAATCTTACAAGGGATAACGTTTCGTGGAACAGATGACAGACTCACTTAAAGTCTCTGAGCATGAGTCTTACGTAACACCAAGAAACAGATGAGACACAAGTCTAAGAAGGCATAAGAAGTTTTTCCAAACAAGACTTGCTAAGAAACTACAACTGGGCCCAAAGTATGGACTATCTATCGAGTTATGTCAGGGGGGATGAGGTATCGAGCCGCTTATCTTGTTCGGTCGTTCCAACTTCCTGTTTTCTGGCGCCATTATCACCATACTGTGACCTACTTCGTGGTTGTGTTGTGTGAGATCTACAGTTCGCGCTTAGAACCCAGAGTCTGCAGGAACATCCAACGGAGGTAGACAGTCGTAGCTAACTTCGTGCCGGTATTATTATAACATTGAGCAAACTTGCTGTAATCGTTGCGTGGTCCAGTTATCGTTTGCATTAGTCAATGAGTATTATGCCCTCAAACGTACTGTAGCTACTCGTTTTGGAAAAGACGTAGGTGTAATTTTTAATTGATAGAATGATATCAGATTATTGTAGATCATAATGTGGTTTAGAACTGTTCGGTGCTCGATCAAGTATGGCGATGCATGAGGCAACGAGTTGTCGTTCATTAGCATGCATATATATAATGATATGATTTCCTACTTTATACTGTGTTCCTGAGTCAGCTGGTCACTTCGGTTAGTGCCACTAACATTCTCTACTCTATGAAGTCTATTGTCGATAAAAAAAGATGCAGGAAATTGTTGAACTGTCGCCTACTTAATTAATTGTTATTTAATTATTGCTTCAGAATTATTTGGTTTATCGATTTGTCATAAGTTTCGGGTGTAGCATAAACAAATCTGGGTTAAGAGGCGACTAACTTCGTCCTTCATGAACAAATTGAATGCAATCGCTATTGGTTAATAAGTTGATTGTTCCATTATCTAGTGGTGTGATCAGATCTTAACGAGTAACTTAGGTTACGGTACTATTTGTTGGCGAAACCTTGAGTAAATACCGCCGAAAAAGGTAGGGAAATAGGGAGTTTGCCAGGTTCGTGGGACTGTAGGATGACATTTGTTGAGTTGGTTAGCGTATTGCTGAACAAGGTGGAGCTGAGAGGCCGTACCATGAAAATTACATAATTACTAGTCAAACCACTACGAACGTCTTAGCACAGCGAAGAAAATTTTTCGAGGAAAAATTTTCTTTGCTGAATTCTCTTTTTCTTATTCAATAAACTTATTAGCTTACTCATATTCATTTGCGTTTAATCGCGGAGATCTTACACAAACGTTGCACCACAGGGAAATTGCCTGGCCTGAATCACCTCAAGGAGAAGACCATGACATCCTGCTTCCAACCTGCAGTTCACGAACAAATAGCAGCTTGCAGCAGTAACATTGATTGCCAGGAAGAGCAGATTGAAAAGGTGTGGAGAGTAAGCATGTCATGACAGTGTAATAACAGCGGAAACTTACCGTAAGTCACCCACAAGCTGAACTGTTTCTGTGTTGGACAGCAGATCACTGCACGTTTAATGATTGATACGAACTAGTAACGAAGGTCAATAATGGTAGGCACGAAGGCATCATCGGAACTACATAACTCGGCAATGTTGGTGTGGTCAATCTAAATCCTTCGTTTTTATATTCGATATTTTGTCCTTCCGGTAGATTTACACTTGTCCCTCATCAAACCGCCATTGAGTGAGAATGATTTAGGATAGAAAATGATGTGACTTTGTGACGACGGACCACCGGTGAACTCGAGGAAGCTGTAAGAGGCTCATAAGGAGCCGAAGACGTTCCATCCAATCACCTTTCGGAAGAATGTTCTAGAATTCCAACGTGTAGCTTCCCCATTGGATAATGCTAATAACCCCCTGTACACGGATTGGAAGACTGTAATGATGATTTCGTTCTCACTAAAAACTATAAATACCTGACAATTTTGTATTATGTTTGACACTGGTTGGAATAATATTCCTTTCGTTAGTCTTCTGTCTTCTTATTGCGACTTGGAAGGATTTGGTGTTCTAGTGCTCAGTTATACGCGGTTGTATCAAGAAAAACCAGCTTTTTCAAGTTATAACATCTGGCGACGGGTTATTGTATCAATATGTCACTTACCTTGGAACAATTTGAAGCCTTATTGGAACGCCAAGAAAAGTTCCAGATGCGCATGTTAGAGATGCTAACGCAGAAAATGAACCTGGATCAAAAAGAAGTTACAGATGATCCCTTCAAATCTCATGTTGACCAGATTGTTAATTCTATCCATGAATTTAATTTTGATGGTTCAGCTGGCATTACTTTTGAAATTTTGTCGCAAATCTTTGCTGAACAGTCATCTTTGTTTAACATTCGTTATCAATGTCTCAAGATGACAAAAGCAGGTGATGATGACTGGGTGAAACATGCGGGTTTAGTAAACCGTGAATGTGAGCGTTTCAAACTATCAGCAATGACAGAAGACCAGTTTAAGTGTCTCGTATTTGTGTGCAGCCTCCAATCTCCCGAAGATGCCGATACTAGAACTAGAATTTTGAGTAAAATTGAACAATCCCCGAATATGACACTACAAGAAGTAACCGCAGAGTGCCAGAGATTGGTAAACCTAAAGCAGGACAATTCGATGGTCGAAAATAATGGCCAGTTGCCATACGTTCGTGCTGTAAGTGGAAAGAACGATTCTTGCTCAAGAAAAGCGTCGCACACAGATAATCAGCCTTCATCTCCATGTTGGTCTTGTGGTGGTCGGCATTATAAAAGTTTCTGCCCATATAAAGAACATTGTTGTAGCAAGTGTCATCGCAAGGGACATAAAGAAAACTGCTGCAGAAAAAGAACGCATAAACGACATTCTTTGAAACCCTACTCGAGGAAATACAGATTTAGTGCTCGAACTAACAAAATATTAGTATCACATAATCGAGCACGAACTTGCCGCCAAAGAAAGTATGTAAACTTGGATATAAATAAAAAGCGTGCCCGCCTGCAACTCGACACCGCTTCTGACATCACACTTATTAGTCAGAGAACTTGGAATCTTATCGGTAAACCACAGGTGCTCCCAACAACCCAGTTAGCTCACAGCGCATCTGGAGGAAAACTAAATATTGTTGGAGAGGTTTGTTGTACAGTCTCGAAGGGAAATGCGGAAACGAATGCAACTTTATATCTTACACAGAATCCAGGACTAGATTTGCTAGGTCTAGACTTGATAGAAGCACTTCAATTAGCAAATCACCCCATTAACCACATATGCAGCGCAGTGAGAACCAGTAAACCGGTGGAAAAGGATCTGAAGAGTGTTGTACTGGAAAGACACAGTCAAGTGTTTACGGAAGAGTTGGGGGAATGCAAAAAGGTTAAAGCACTATTGATTCTTAAACCAGGAGTCACCCCAGTCTTCAGACCAAAACGTCCGGTACCCTATGCAGCACTACCTATTGTTGAACAAGAATTAGAGCGTCTGCAAAGAAGTGGAATAATCGAACCAGTAAACTTTTCTGATTGGGCAGCTCCAATAGTGATTGTTAAAATGCCTAATGGAAGTATCCGGTTATGTGCAGATTATTCGACTGGATTAAATGAAGCGCCTGAA